ACAGAAGCTGATCTTCCGGAGTATTTGTGAGTTCGAGTATTGTATCACTGCACAATGTACGAGGTTTCGTTCATACAAGATGATGAAAATCAGTTCTAGAATAGCTAAGGTGCTCAGAATACAAGTTACAAGAGTTCCACCTCATTCTGGATGATAAATATCAGTTCTGAAATGTTTGAAACATTCACAACTCAAGAAACAAAGTTCCTGCTCATTCTAAGAGTCACACCAACAATTCTTCCTCCTCAAGACCAACAGCTTGTAAGGCTCCACTCTCGTGCTCCAATGCAACCCTGCGCTCCAATTCGCAACTTGTTACGGTTGCTACGATTCCCCGGCCTGCCAAATCTCTCTTGTCGCAAACACTGTCATAAATATTGCAGAGTTAACTTTATTTGTTACAATTAACCTGCCCAAACGACTCAGAACCCTTTACCAGCCCGTCGCGAACACCCTCATCGTTGGGTTCGCCCACTTTATATTGCAAGGGACTTGTCCTTCTCTTCCTCTGTTCGAATTTCACCTCGTGTTTTTGGCCACTAAGTTGGTTTCATGTTCTGCGCTATCTCAATACTGTAGAAGTGTTGTCCAGGAACTTAAGTCACCCGCTATTCCCAAAGATGGCTTTTTAGCGATTTCCATTATCTCTCTGATGTTGATATTCTCATTTATTGTTGAATGCACTTCAGCATTCCAGATCAGTAATCCGTAGGAGATTTTGAACCAGTTCTCCCCTGTGGACTTTCGTGGGCTAAGCCGAATGTTTCCCAAAACGATTATGGTGAACGAAAATGTTCGCAGTAGTTTCTAATGCATTGGCTGCTCCTTCGCAAAGTACCTATCTATATAGGAGTAGCAGTGATGTTCGGACATGTTTTAGAGCACGTAGGGTTCACGATTTTGTATTTTAATAGTGCAGTTTTAAGTGCGATGGGAGCCGGTTTTCGGAAAGTTGACGTTGACACGTGATGTATGCATATACATTGCAGAACTTGTCCCATAACACTTTTCGCGTTGATTTGGTGTGCAGATATCGACTTTAAGACAAGGTGCTCTGGCCGGCAACTACAGTGGATGCACCTCTGTCCCAGCTCAAAAAGTCTTACTAAGAACGGGCTGTTCGGGGATTAGAGGCATTACAGTACGATAACTTCAGTAGGCGAACAACCATACACCGTACCCCAAATGAGCCGTAAATAAATCTGGATGCACACCAAACACAGTATCTCACGACAACGTCGAAATTGCTTGGGGAACGTACGTGTTGCGATGCTAAGGATATCCAAAGGATTAGAACGATTGCATAGAGTAGTGTTCGTAAGAACTATAGGTCCGTTGGATGCTCCAATGCATCATTTTTCTATTTATAAATGTACTTGTATAATTGGGTTTCAACGGCACTCATCAAAAATAGTCCGCGTTTGGGTCAGAATTTCTCATGACATTGCAGTGGAGTCTTTGCACATTACTGAAGTGACGCATTTTCCAGATGAAAATGTCACGAGACTTCCCTGAGAATTGATTAGATTAGTAGAACGTAGTTTTGCATGTATTCTCCTTTACTGGTCCCGCATTCATTCCGTGATAAATCCCCTACTTCTTTCCATGTTCGAGAGTGGTTTCAATTATCCACATTCTTATGGTATTGATGACAGTATAGCCTCCTTGTCGTGTGTTTACCACTGCCTGCTTGCTTCCTGTTGGTTTCGTGCGATACGAGGAATGATGACAAGCATAGTTTTTTCTGAACAAAATACAGTACGAGTACGAGATCCATAGTCAGCTCTGTCATCGCCACGATGGCCATGACCCTCTCCCCCTAATCCCCGCATCCAACTCTTCGAGGCGTGGGCGTAGCCCCAAACCCTATGCTTGTATAACCAAGATAAACGGTTGGACTATTCGTCTCGTCTGCAATCTACAAAACCGCTACTGAACCGCCACAACATTTGATAAGTATATAGCAAGAAGCAAAGACTAAAAAGTAAATAATAAATTAATTAAGTGAATAATTAAAATGAATAAACAAATATCACTTACAGCAGACAATAAGTAAATGACAAAATAATACGTCTCAAACAGATGCGTGCGTATTGTCCTTTCCAAAACCTAAAACAGACATGGATAAAAGCACCTGAAATCAGAATTTACATCTTTCCACCACCTCTGCGAAGAAGCGTGATGCACGGCGCCCACTCCGACCAAGCGGTCCAGGCGATAGCGACTATCCTCTTCACTCATTTGAGAAACTATGGCGTTTAGAAGCGCACACGGAAGTTTCGAAGGTGTATCCTCACAATGGCACAGAAGGAGTCGATTTTTCGGGTGGGTCAGAGGGTAGCGCGTCTGTGACCCATCTAAAATATCTCCTGAACTAGCGGGTCTTCAGGAAAACTGTAAAGCTTATTGGAAAGAAAAGATAGGGCGGTTTCAAGACGATTTTAATCCTGATGAAATTGCGTTCGAAATAAGTAATCCTCGTGTGAAGCATAAAAACCCGCTTGCCATTTACCCCTAGCCGATCCGAAACCCATCCGAAATATTTCACGAACGGGGGGAACATGCACATTGCCAACTGGTAGAAAACGCCAACAGTACGAGACATCCCTTTGCATGCCCTCTAACCACTTCATCAAAAGCCGTGCCCGTCTAGAGAGATTAACCGCCGAAAAGACCTTAGCGAACGTTGCAGGGCCCAAACACCGCGCTCCAAGCGACGTTTTTCCAATGAAAGCGGTCGCAACGTTGCGATCGATAATAGCCAAGTATAGAACGATATACTGTCGTCTGGTTATCCATTTTTTCATTTCGCTCCGCATTTTTTGCATTTTTCATGTTTCGTTGATGTTGTCGTGCATGTTTCAAGTGATCAACTGATCACCATGCGTCCCTGATTATTGTTTTGCTTCTTGTTACAAGTGCATGTCATACATGGTTAGCGAACGACGAGTTTTATTTTGAATCCTAAGACGAAATTGTAGGTAATGCGGGGCTGTTGTTCAGCTGAAACAGCCTATTATTTGCCTGAATTTTAGAGCAGAGTCCGCCTTTCGATAATCCAGATTCCATTTCAGGAAGCCATTTGTGGTGAACATGCATCTGGTTGTCAGTTAGAGCAGAGGGGGGGGTCGTAACTGGACCCTCTTCGAGGGGGGGGGGGCGGCGGGGGGGGGACGGGCGCGCGGCGGTCGGGTCGTCTACTCACACCTCCTTTTCGCATATCCCTATGCTGTAGCCTGCTCGCTACTCGTCGCGGAACTGCGCTTTGGGGGCTACCCGCTCATGAGGAGCAATGCTGCGCGCAGTGGCTCACATTATGCCCCTTTCTTTTCTAAAGACTCCGTGCTGAAACGGTGGTTCCCCTCCTTTAGCGTTTTCTATTCAGGAACAATTTCGACAGATTTTTCTGCTTCTTTTCTCAATAATTTTTTTTCATGTTCCAGTTTCGTCATTAACATTTGAGTTCAACAACCAAGGATTTTTGATCGCGGGACCTGTGCTCAGTAATGAGGCTCTCCTTAAAGATTAGACTCTTGAGTGGAGTGTGAATGACCTGCTAATTCCTGTATTGTAGCGACTGTATTTATGAGTACTAAAAATAGCATACAGTGAATTGACTTTTTTAAATCGAGATTATGTTCCCCCTGTTTTTTTTTTCATTGTTCGTTTTCCGAAGTGCCACATAATACGGCAAGTGTTAATGCACCATTCAAAAGTAATTTGTCTGTTCTACAGAGCTGTCTTTCTTTTCAACTAAGTTTCCGAAACGAAAATTTAGGGGGGGGGGGAAACAAAGCGTTTTGGCAGAAGGCAAAAAAGAGTTTTTGACGCAGTTTCGGAGTCAGAATGAAAATGATAGCGATGAAAAACGAGGCGCTGGCGGAACTTATGGTGAAAAGCTGTCGGGAGCTACCAAATTTTCGCTCGGGCAAGCTTACCTCACTGAGCCTACCTCTCCCGGGGCTAACGGAGTAGCGATTGTATGAAGGGTCAATTAGAAACAAAGAGAAACCAAATATTGGAAAAGGGAATACTCCAAAGGAAAGTAAACAAAACTTTACCGCACACGTACCATCAAAACGGACCATCTATGTTTTGTAGTGCTTTTTCCAGTCATTTGTTTCTGTTTTGTCTGATTGAACCTGGACCAGAGGCCCATTATAGCCGACCTTTTAGCGGGATAGTGAGCACTGGAAGGGTCACACCTTGGCGGGTCACACGCCCGAATTGTGGGTAAAATGCCTTTCAGTGCAGAATGTCCATTTGCACCTTCACATCAAGTGTCACCGCTACACTTAGAGCCTAATGATCAATTTCTATAGTTCTTTTCGCGAATTATCCAGTTCTTTGACTTTCTTATGCTCCGGACTGACTAGTACATACTCCTGTTCGCTGCGATTGAATAGGCGTGTTCGTCATTTAACTTTGCAACGGCAGCCAAACCCGTTCTCTGCCAGTCCATGAAGCGGGTATGACAACAGCTGGCAGAAAACGAGTGATGCGAGCGAGATCCTCATCACTTGCACGCTTCAACAACTGCTGATGGGTAATGGGTTTGGCACCACGCCAAACTCATGCCGCCTGATATGCCCATTCACCCCCAGCGAACTACACTATACATTCCTTTTCCCATACTCCTTAACGGCGATGTTTATGAACACGATCCCACTGCGGCGATTTCGGCAATTTTTACCTGTTTAGAAGCAAAACGCTCGCTGCTCCCTATGTGGTAACCAAAAGAAGTTTACTAATCCATGTAAGTCTTTACTTTCAGAGATAGTTTTTTATTTCGAGGTTAATTACATTTATTTTATTATTTTTTACAAGTCGGCTAAGAGCAGTAATGAAATGGCTCTATGTGCGAAAAGGGATTTCTGCAGTTTTCGCTACGGGAGTCCTCTGGGACCGCGTTCAAACTTTGCGATCTAGTCGCTGAACGATCCGATCTGAACGCGGTCTGAATGGCCCCTTCCCTCGTTGCCTTTGTTAGTTGTTCATTTTTGGTTTTCAGGTATCAGCTGAGTCCGGTTTCCCTGAAGCCAAATGTACGAGCAAGTCGAAGTCAGCATGGTCCTTTTCAGAATAAACTCGCCAAGCTAGTGGACAAGGTAAGCAGTAACAGCCGAGTCCTTGTTTCCTTTTCTATAACTGAAAGCCAGATCATTCATGTTTGCAGTTATCAGCTGAGCGGGAAATAGTCGATTTGGAGCATGAAACTGGAAGGACTCTTTTCAATTCTATGGACTCATTTTTCGCCTATGGGTAGGACCAATAGCTTTTTATATATACACTCTTTTTTGCTTCGCTTCGGATAATGGGGCATGTCAAGAGGAGTTGCTTTGGCGCTGCGCCAGCTCGATTTTCTTTTTTTTTCTTTCGGCGAGTGACGAGGCTGTATCATATTATTAAGTCGGCCAACTTCCACGTGTTACCGCTTACCCGCGTCAGCAACTGATCGCGAACGGGCTGCAGGCGCACTATTCCCAGCCTCACGCCCCTTCATTCACAGCGAACAAGACTGCTTGACTGACCGAAGAACCTACGTGACAAGCTTTCTTCAGGCTACTGTCCGGTGATAAAGTCTACTGGCGATTCGTCCGTGAGTTTCTCCCGAGAACACAACAACAGCTTCTTCGAGCTGAGTGGGGAGACATCGATGACCGACGTCTGTCCATCGCATGGCTGAAAGATGCGTTCAATAAAGGCACACTTCACTTCCAAATGCTCGCGTTCAGAAATAATCGGTAAGATTTTTAACGCTTCAAAATTTTTAAAGGTCTTGTTTAACTGAAGCTGATTATTTCCCTCTTAAGGAGAATTATTGAACGATTCTATCATCGCAATGCTTGCATGAATAATGGTGGGATGTTAGAAGCGGTCACTGACATGATCACCAGCCTTGTGAACGTCCAGTTTGCTTTTTACGTGAGTCCTATCTTGCCTCTACATCGTTTTCTTAGTTTGAGTCTTACTATTTATTCGATTTGTTCCTGCACCCTTATCAAAAACTGCAATCTTCGAACTCAGGGTAAAATATTGTAGTTTGATATTCAGGGATGTCTTTCGAATTAAAATTTCTGAGGCCCTCTGTGATCTGCAGTTAAGGTCGCAGTCAGGTGCTGGCATATCTTCGGTACCCCACAGTATCAAGAAGTTTTTATTTGCATTTTTTGAAATATTACATGTATACTTGGGTTAAATTATCTTTTTTCCTTTGGAAAGCTACTACTTTTTTTCCAGTCGACGCTCAATCTTCGCACAGAACCAGCGCGAGCAGTTGTTGTCGAGCCTCCGGTAACACCGATTGCCACAGCACGAGCGAAAAGGAGAAAAAGAACGGTACATTTAGTTGCTTCTAGTATCGTGGCGGGTTGTTTGTGAGAGCAATTTCCTCACTGACAGAGCCTCTATTGTTCTCGCCGAGCATTTGCAATTCGATTTTCTCGTCTATGGGAATGGTATAGTCCATTTTAAAGGCAGCTCTCGCGTTCATTTGATGTGCAGACACCGTCGTTTTGCAAGGTACTCCTGCTCGCAAGCCTAGAGGATGTATCACTTTCGCGGCTTGGAGCGCGTAGTAAAAATGCTACTCGCTTATGGCGAAGCTCTCACTCACTGGCTGCTACGCCCGAAGTGCATTCCTAACAACTCCATTCTAAGGTGGTTGTTCTGCTACTAGCTCTCCCCATCCTGCTTGAAATGAGATGATAAGGAAATGTGCTGATAGTGTCATTTTTGACGCGCCATCTTTTCGCCGTATGATCGTACGACTCAGATCAGTAGATGTTCCCGTCTAGGGCATTTGAGAGGTCTTCCCATCCTGATTGAGGTAGTTACTACCTTGTTGTTCTTAGTCAAGCCCCGTTACCCACCATATTTTATCGCGAGACATCTTTTAGAATAATTACATTCCTCGTAGTCTTCTTTCAGCGTCTGTTATTCTCTTTATTTGTTTCATTTGCCATGTATTACTTTTATTCCAGGAAAGCTTACGCAACCAGCCTCCTGTACTCAGTGAAACAATTCCGTCAAATTTAGAAACTATTCCTGTGCCTTCACCGAAAGATCAGGTAGGCAAAGCGTTTTTTCTGCTGTGCTCTGTCACTAACCACCCATAATATTAGGTTGTTCGGAAAGAAATGCGCGTTTGAGTTAAAAAATTTTTTATTATAAAAACGAAATTAAACAAGATAATTCAAAAGATAATCTCCATTATCAATGACTTGTTGCCAACGTTTATGCAAAGAATGGATTCCTCTTTCGAAGAACTCGGCCGGCTGCGACTCAAAGTAGTTGGACACCCAGAGTTGGACTTCTTCGCGGTTTGTGAACTTTCTCTCGGCCAGGGAGTGCTGCATCGACCGGAACAGATGGTAATCGGATGGTGCCAGGTCTGGGCTGTATGGCGGATGAGGCAGGACTTCCCAGCCCAAGTGATTTTCGCGACATGTGGACGAGCGTTGTCGTGGAGGAATTTTATCGACGTCGTTTGGACACCTTGTAGGGACCTTGACCTCCTAAAGTTCTTTTTCCTTCAAAAAAACAAAGTAGACATAGACAAAAATATATCAAAAGATGCACAATAAAAATCTCTTTCTAATAGACAAAACTGTTTTGAAAAATCTTCTATAGTAGGAGAGAAATAAATGGACAAATTCAACGCGCATTTCTTTCCGAACAACCTAATATATGCTCAGTCACATGTATGGTTTGTTTTGTCAGCCCTACCTCATTGATGAGTCCCGGAGTTGACGAAATAAAGCTAATTCGTCTGAGTAAAGGTCGGAACGGACCCTCTACGTTATGGAGCGTTTTCTTTTTCCAATCTTTCGTTGCCTTTTTTCCGATTGTCCTAAAATTTTACTGAATTCGTGATTTTCAAGGACGCAATTTTGGACGAATTGATGAGGATGCGGAGAAATCGATTGCAAGGTTTCGAGGACAACAATGGGAATGAAAAGGTTCCTCAATTCACCATGACGAAAGATGATCAGTTTGTTCAAATAATGGTTTTAGTCTGACGGAAATGGAGATTCTGGAATGAACACGAGTGGGAACTCATCAGAACCGCCTGTTAGGAGCGAAGGGTTCGAAGAGGTTATCTTCACCTTTGTTACTAGAACCACTGACTTTCGTGCAATTATAATGTAGATCCGACGATGTGAACACACTGCAATGAAAAAAGGTTTCCCTATTTAGGTGGTACGCAAAACCATGTCGCAAGCAAACATGGAAAATCTGGGAGAGCTCGAGCCGAAGTCGTTTGACAGTCTACTCCAGTACGAGGAGTTGTCACCGGAGAAACACCATGAAGATGACGCTTTAGTTGAAGGCGAAGTGATGTAGGTTTTCTTGGGAGATGATCAGGAGAATCATGAATTACCGCTTTGTCGCGACGGCAATAGGCACGATGTTTCCTTGATTTGCATTACCCTTTCCACTGGAGCATCAGATTTTATCTATACAAGGACGTAGACACTTATGTCATTTTGGTCATACATTGTCTATTCTCGACCAATACCACCTAAAATCGTCGTCATTAGCAGGCGCGACGTCGCACGCGACGCCCATATACGCGGCGAGTTACGATCCTCTTGCCACATACCCGGTTTCTTTAATTGCTCACAGATTACTCCAATTGTACTTGTAGGGGTTGATAGAATCTGTTTTGTTCGCATCGCTACAGCTTTAAATTACTTCTGTGCAAATTAACGCAGGAAATAAGGGGTCGTTTCTAATAATATAGTTGGCATACAATTAAGTCGTGAAGTCCTGCGACACGTTTAGTAAACCGTTCTAAAAAGTCAAAAATCTAATTCAAACTTAAATTCTCCTAATGCTTAAACTTCTAAAAAGTCAAAATTCAAAATCAAACTTAAATTCTCCAAATGCTTAAACATTTTATTTTCGTGAATTGCTCATTCTAAGTTGCTAAATTATAATCACTGTGATTGATTAGCGGCACCGTTCAAGTTGCTGAGGCATTTTGCTGGTTCCATCCATCCCTGCCGATCATTTTGTAGAAACCTGCAAATACTTGTCAAGACGTGCAGTGGAGCTACGGTAACACTTGACAAGAGTTTACACGTCTGACCAAGGTGAAACGTGTATTTAACAGGAATAGCGAGAAAACTAGCAAAATTGCCAAGCGCCCTCCTAACCAAAACAGCGCCTTGATTAAGTGTCCTCAATGTTCCAACGATCAAATTCACAAGGAACACAGGTTTAGAGGAAGAAATATGGGGATGCTTGAAATCTCGTTCACCATGTCTTGTGAGTTTCCGAAAAACCAAGCAATCCTCAAGATTTTCTTTCACTCCGATATTCTGTTTGTTGATGGGCAAGTGTCTCACCTGTCTTTTCGACTAAAATTTCCTCTTTTCACGATTTTTCGTAAAACAACTTTCAAAATATTCCGTTCATTACTTTTCTGATCACTAAAGAAGTTGGTGTTGTCAGGCTCCATTCTGGAGACATTTTGAAGTTGGCGATGAACGTGTATGTGAATGAGGGCGAAAGAATGCTGCATATGTACCATGTGTATCAGCGATTCGCGGCTGGAGTGCCTCAGCAGAGGTGAGAATTCTATGCCGTTTTTTCCTCAATGGAATATATGTAATAGTTTGATTCAGGCTTCTTGCAGTAACTGATCACAATGTATACGTTATCACTCAGAATGTTGTTCAAGAAGAATCTGCTCACCCAGGAGTGTTCGAAGAAGGTGGCCATAATAACGTGTTCTACGAAGTTCACGTTGTTATACCACTATCATCTATTGATTATATAGCGGTACGTTGATATCAGAGGGTTCCTGTGCTTCACTGTCTCACAAGTCTTCTTTGTGGTAGATATAATGAAACTCTTTCCGGTCTTATTTCACAGAGTTTCGGGCTGTAGGCCCTCCTTCAGGCCCACAACCATGAACATGACTTATATTGCCTACACCAGTATCATCTAGTAACTATACATACATAACAAGAAATCCAAAGAGGGAACAATCAATTACCAGCTGACCGGCTTCCTATGGGAGAGAAGGGTGGGGTAGGAGTGGGTGCGGAAGGAAGCTACAAGGTGGTTCGATGATGCAACGGCAAACAGGGATACGAAACATTGTCTCACCTCCCCAGCTGTCTTTTCGTATAGATCTAGGACAGCTAGATTGGGGAAGGAGTGGTAAGATGGTATGCTCCTCAGAGCATTTGTTAAATAGTAAATTTGACTTAGTGCCACACAGCCATTCTGAGTAGGTTTTTCCAATCTTGCGCCGCTTGTAACGCTTTCTTTGTGGTTTCCGCAGCAGTAAGGAAATAGCTATATACATCATTGACACTAGCATCTTATTAGGCATTGGCCATCGCAACAAGTTTTACTCTACTTTACTCGGCTTACGATCTCCAGTTGTATCACTCACCCATGTCTTTTTGTGTGTTTCTGCTTTGATGGAACCTTGTGGATTAGGCTGTTCGCTCAGTCACTGAGTGCTGAGCTTATCGAATCCGTACCGTAGTAGCTGGACTGACACAGCAGGTGGGAAAGGAGCAGAAAGAAAAGTATGAAAGAAGTGCATAGTTTAACCCACGATCGATTTCTTTGTAGCCTTGACATAGTATCAGTACGAACAGCATTTAGTGAGCAAGTTTACTTGGCTAACGTATCGGCTTCATCGTCTTAATTAGAGAAGCCGGTAAAAATTTGAAGCTGATCCAGTCAAAACCCTATTCTATCCTGGAGACTATTTCCCTAGAACGGCGATGCACCAGGGAAAAGTCGTTCAATCGGAGTGTATTACTTGGCTTATTTTAATGTCGCTCGCTGTAAAACGAGGCTGACCATTCAGTAATGAAATGTGGTTAATGAGTATTATACCCCGAACCTTCATAGCTTTCAAATCTTAAAGGATTCGAAAAAGGGGCGAGGTCACGAGTTATGACCACATACTCTTCCTTTCTGTACCTCTTGGGTTTCCTAGCCGATGCCCAAAACGCAGGAATCGGTAGTCGAAAATGGAAAATCCACCTTCAAAACTCGCCCTATTCTCGGTGACAGT